AAGGATACTGCAAAATCTCCATTCCCACCCCACTCCAGGCAAGGATACTGCAAAATCCCCATTCCCTCCCCACTCCTGGGGGAAGGATATTGCAAAATCTCCACTCCGACCCCACTCTGGGGCCAGCCAGAGGTGGTATTTGCCAGTTCTCTGAACTACTCAAAATTTCTGCTACCGGTTCTCCAGAACCTGTCAGAACCTGCTGGATTTCACCCCTGAATCAGAGATAATGAAACATCATGGAAAGCTGGCCATGAAAAGAGAACTCTTTCCCAACACAAACTTATTTTTACAAACTCTCGGGATGTGGCTTCGCTCTTCAATTCCAGCCCTGTTTGGTGCCAAGAGGAAAATGGGAAAAAACTTCCCCCTGGTTTCTCTGTGTGTGTTCGCTTGTTTTTGTTTTAATGCCAATTTTCATTTTAAATCTCGCTGGAAATTAAAGCTAAACGAAGCCTGACTCTTCAGTCTGGTAAGGGGATCCTGGTTACAAGGCAGCTTATGTCGCATAAACCAGAAACGCTAACACAGCAACAGCTCTAATGAAATGCGATTAATTAGTTTGCTTCATTCCAAACTATTTGTGGCCTTTGAAATATTGATTGGGGTTCTTTGGGGGGAGGGGAGAATTCCCGCTGAATTTTTATGATTATAGGGCGTAGAAAAAAAAAAGACTTAAAATTAACAGTCCCTCTGGAGAATAAACATGGCTGTTTTTGCTGCCAAATGCTCACCAGAGTGAGCTGAAGCATATGCCTGCTACGTCTCGGTCTCTGGGGCAGAGAGGTGAGCCACAGAAATGTGTGAGCAGCTGGGGATTACACTGGGGAAAGAGGGTTCCTCAGAGTCCATCTAAAGGTTATGCTTTGTACACAAAGCTCGGAAGCAGAGAGCTTGATATGTAACTATTCCAAGCCTGGGGATTGAAAAAGCAGCCTTTAAAAAGTCAATGGATATGATGTTCCTTGGAAAGTTCTCTGCAGCTTTTGGGGATGACTTTCATCATACTGTATGGAGCAAATCCTGGTCCTGGCACTTCAGCCACTGAAAGCAGGCATTGATTAAATTGCAGGAGGCTGGGTTGATTTTAAACTCACATATTTCTTTCCAGGGTTCCAGAATTTAAAATAGGACACAGGGCCAGATTATTTATGGGACTGGGCAGTGGTGAAATCTATTTTTTTTTTTACTACAGGTTCTGTGGGTGTGGCTTGGTGGGTGTGGTGTGGCTTGGCAGGCATGGCTTGGTGGGTGTGGCAGGGGAAGGATACTGCAAAATCCCTATTCCCTCCCCACTCCTGGGGGAAGGATATTGCAAAATCTCCATTCCCACCCTGCTCTGGGGCCAGCCAATTCTCTGAACTACTCAAAATTTCTGCTACCGGTTCGCCAAACTGCTCAAAATTTCCGCTACTGGTTCTCCAGAACCTGTCAGAACCTGCTGGATTTCATCCCTGGGACTGAGTCTCCCTAAGGACATATATCTGTCCTACCAGATCATACAGGGTGGACATGCTACTAGTTCTTTCCCTTAAAGACTGACATCTTATGGGATCTAGGAAGTGTGCCTTTTCCATGACAATCCCTGCCCTATGGAACACCCCTCCCCCTTGATATTCAGCAGCGCTCTTCTCTCCCAGCCATCCCAAAAGCATTTGAGACATGGTTTCCCCCCCAAGCACTGGGATACACCGATGTGGATGAGAGGATTTAATGCAGGTAAAAGCTTAACGTTGGGTTTTTTTAATGTTTATGGTTTTAATAAATATATAGTATGTATTATTTTGTTTTATGATTGATATTGTTCTAATTGTTGATTGGGAACCTTTAATAAATATATAGTATGTATTATTTTGTTTTATGATTGATATTGTTCTAATTGTTGATTGGGAACCATGCAGACTTTGATATAAGATTGGCAGCTCTATAAATGTTAATAAAATAAAATGAATTGTTAAAAAACCACTGAAGCAAGACAGTAGAGCAGAAGCAACTTTTGACTTCCCACCGGTTTCCCCATTGAGTTGTTACATGCAAAGCTGCAGGGAGCATTGGAAATCTCCCTTCCCTTCCCTTCCCTTCCCTTCCCTTCCCTTCCCTTCCCTTCCCTTCCTTTCCCTTCCCTTCCCTCTTGTCCTCTCCCCTCCTTTCTCCTAACTCAAATCTGCTTATAGCATTCGTCTATAAAACCAAAGCATGAAGCGTAATTGAAGTTTGAGACTCATTTAGTTTTTGAATGGTATACTAGAAGAACCACATTTCAAAATGTAAGTGAATTGAGGACCAAAAAAAAAACCAACAACCTTAAATTAAAATTCAGTTCACTTGATGTAATAATTTTCCCCATCTGCCACACTGACAGTTACAATTTGCTGCCAATTTTGGAGGAGGTCTGGAGGCTTCACGCAGTGTTTCAAGGAACAGCATGCAGCTTTGAGACCTCAAGTTCTCCACCTTTGAGCACACAAGGAGAAAATTGCCTCAGGAAACAAATGCTGAGAAGTACGGTGATGTTGTCTTTTGGGAGAAGAAAATTATATGCCCAGGAAGCCTCAGAGGAGGCAATCCACTTTGAGATTGCCTTCTGCAGGAGAGAATATATCTCAGGACCAGGGATGGGCCAGTCAACTTCATGGAATGGAAAAGATATGTGGCATCTCATCTTCATTTCAAACTATATTGGTTACTCTTGTCATTTCTTATATTCTCTTCCAAGAACATCATGCCATAATTGAGCTTTAGTGTTCCAGCACCTTTGTCCAAATCTTTTCTTCCCATCCCTTGGTCTTGGATACAAATCCTAGTGCCTGTCAAATACACTTCAGTTGTAAATGACTTTCTGTCCCTAACACCAAACATTCCCCATACATGATGCTACATTTATAATCTTGCGATTAAAACATTTTGTCTGGGATCCATGTTCCTGGCTCTTTCCGAACTTCATAAAATTATTTATTTTGGGATTGATATACATGACCCATCCCTTTCACATCAATAAAATGAAATAACAAATGAAAGGTATTTGAAGTAGCGACAGAGGCACTATTGGGCATCAGGACAATAATAGGTTATGACATCTCTTCAGTCATTGGCTGCATCAGAATATATTTCCAGCAAATTTACAAAGCTTGGCTTCTGATTAACCAGAGAGAAGCTCCTATTCTTTGGGTCTTTCTATGTGCTGTTTTCCTGTCTTCCCTGACAGAAGTATTTAAAATATAGAAGTAACAATAATCCCCCTGAAAAGACAACTGAGCTTTATTACACTGGATTACCTGGTGTCTTTTTCTATTCTGTTCTCTCTGTAAAAGTTATCTGAATATATATGTTTATTAGGCTTCTAAGGAATGTTAAGTGTAACTTTATCTAGCATGAGATGGCTTAATGGAGTAGTTTTCTTTTTAAGAAAAGAAAAACGTCACCATGACTACAGACTTCTCTGCTGATCATCCTTAGATGAAAGCATGGTAAGGGAAGCTTGGAAATTTTAATGTGAGTCTAGCTCTCAACTAGTCACAAGTTTGAAATCACAAAAGATGATGGTCACTTAGACCAGGGGTCTCCAACCTTGGCAACTTTAAGACTTGTGGACTTTAACTCCCAGAATTCCTCAGTCTTAAAGTTGCCAAGATTGGAGACCCTTGACTTAGACCACCATCAAAAGAGAGTTTTGGGGGGATGTTGGTCATGATTGGATAACGACTTGTTTTTATTTTGTTTTTTGCCTGGTGCCAGGTTTTTTTTGTTTGTTTGTTTGTTTGTTTGCTGCAAATTTTTAACAAGCACAATCTCTGTGCAAAAGAATTGCAAAGGGGGAAAATGTAGGAGCTGTATTCAACCATGCTCACTTTCACCTTTCAAGTTTGTTTGTGACTTTCCCAGAGATTCAGGCTAATCAAAATGGTAAGGTAGATAGTTGCCTGAAGAGTATAGCAAAATTCTTTGTTTAAGCAGGTGTAGTACAAATATCTTAAATCTCCGGAGATATTTGCTGTACTATACAGACTTGCCATTAGCAAATAACAGTAATTGCATGAATCCAGTCTGGTCAGTGTAGCCTCTAAAAAGAATCTAAAACTTGATTGAAAATACTAAGCCATATGCTATGGTAGTATATAGGCTAGGCATATGTGGACATGTGTCCCAAACCCACCGACTCAGATCTAGGAACAGCTTTATGGCAAGAACAAATATTCTTGAGGGTACACAAGAACAAAATTGAATTAAAAGATGGAGGAAATAGACCATCAGGCAAGGAATAACATTAAAGGAGGATATGGCTGAAGGATCGTATACTACCTAGAGGACTCTAAATAAATTGAGAGTTGGAGTGCCTAAATGTAAAACCAATATGCTCACGTGGAGGCTCTTTGCAGATAACAACATACTATGTGAATGTGAAGAGAACGTGGCTTCATTCTACAAATTTAACGTTTGATATAGACATGAGAGGAGGAGGAGGAGGAAGAGGAGGAGGAGGAGGAGGAGGAGGAGGAGGAGGAGGAGGAGGAGGAAAAAGATAGTCTTCTGGAATTTTTTTGCCCTCCAGAAAGAATGTATGTTAGCTCTTATAATGCCAAGTTGTTAACTACACATATTGCATCCAACACTTCTGGGAAGCCCAGGCTGATGAAGGTGAGGTGATGGAGAGCTAGAAGTCTCTGAAAGAATTATAATCTCACTGTATACTATTATTACCATTAATTCACCGTATATGGACCCATCCTTCCAGCTTCTGTGCAAGCAGCATACATATTTACATTAAAGATTAAGAAGACAAAGAATATTATGGTATGGTTTTTAAATGTTATAAGTCTCCCCAGAGTCGCTGCTGTGAGACGGCAGCCACATAAATCCAATCCATAAATAAACAAATGTGTGAAACAATGGACATATATTGGTGAAAGGGGAAAAAGAGAACCGAGAAAGCATAAAACACCCCAAATCATCTAACTTGCCCCATATAGGTGCTTGCAGGCTGAGCTAGTGACCAGACCCACCTTCGCATTCTGGCTGAGTGCCACTCCATGATCCATTGGCTTGACACATTCTCTGCAGTGAGCCCCGGAGAGTGTAACCCGGCTCACAGCTAAACCAGACCGTGCTGTTCACACTTAATTCGTTTTCACCATGCCGGATACCATGGGAAGGGATTCCTGGATCACCACAAAGTCCCTGGATGGTTCCTACCGAAGGAAAGTAGAAGTTCTGTCATTGGAGCAAGCAATGCTACCCTCATCTCTCCTCCACCCATTGACCGAGAGTGCAGTTTACCATTCGCTCGGATGGAGAAATGGATGGGGACCGAAAGGAACTGGAGTCAAGGAAACCAGCAAAATAACATTTTGGGGATTGAGAAGGAAGAAAATGGGTTTCCAGATGTTGGAAGAATAGGGAGAAGCACAGCAATCAAGACATCCACATCAGGAAATGGGGCTCATCTGGAGCCTGATAATAACCAAATAGCCTTTAAAAATAGAGAGGTTTTATATATCTGGAGAGTGATTGCTCAGGCAGGCAGGCATCTGCATATTCTTTAAAAAAGGTAAAGGTTCCCCTCGCACATCTGTGCTAGTCATTCCTGACTCTAGGGGGCGGTGCTCATCTCCGTTTCAAAGCCGAAGAGCCAGCGCTGTCTGAAGATGTCTCCGTGGTCATGTGGCCGGCATGATTCAACGCCAAAGGTGCACAGAACGCTGTTATTTTCCCACCAAAAGTGGTCCCTATTTGTTTGCATTGTTTATGTGCTTTCGAACTGCTAGGTTGGCAAAAGCTGGGACAAGTAACGGGAGCTCACGCTGCTACACAGCACTAGGGATTCGAACCCCTGAACTGCCGACCTTTCGATCGACAAGCTCAGCCTCTTAGCCACTGAGCCACTGCGTCCCTTCATATTCTTTATTCATATTCATGTTCTGCATATTCTTTAGTGTAACAAAATATAGGTAGTCTTAGATTAACGACCATTGGTTAGTGACCATTGGAAGTTATGACAATACTGAAAAGTGTGATTTATGAGCAGTCCTTGCACTTGTGACTGTTGCAGCATCCCAATTTGGGATGATCAATGATCAAAATTTGGCTACTCAGCAACTGGCATATATTTATGGCAATACCCTGGGATCACCATTTGCGACTTCCCAGGAGGGCTTCCGACATGCCAAGTCAAAGTGGAAGCTGGATTTACTGAATGACCATTACAAAAATGGTTGTAAAATTGGATGTGATTGATCACATCGCTTAATGATTGAGATTTCAGTCCCAACTGTGGTCATAGGTTTGAGGAGTACTGTGCAATGGGCACTGACAATGTGTGCGCTTTCCCTTCACATTGGTTCTGAGTCACAAGTGGTGGACTGTAGACACACCATTCTGAGTCATGTGACTGGGAAGGAGGAAGGAAGGAAGGCTTAGAATGGAGCAAACAGCACCACTGTGAGCTTCAACCCATATGCCCAGGGGTGCTATTCAGCAGGCTCTGACAGGTTCTAGAGAACCGGAAGCAGAAATTTTGAGTAGTTTGGAGAACCGGAAAATACCACCTCTGGCTCGCCCCAGAGTGGGGTGGGAATGGAGATTTTGCAATATCCTTATCCCAGGAGTGGGGAGGGAATGAGGATTTTGAAGTATCCTTTCCCTGCCATGCCCACCAAGCCACACCCACAGGACCAATAGTAAAAAAAATTGAATTCTACCACTGTAAATATGATTCTCTGCAATCCAAAATCAGACTCCACCCGTCTTTTTTGTTGTCTCACCACACCAAATTTCATTTTGTTCTGTTCAGGATTTTGAAAGTTATCCCAGAGACGAGGCGTGGAATACACATCTAACTTCATTCACACATTTTTCTCTCCAACATTCCATTGGGTTAGTAAGAAAATAAGAGACCTGAAGGTGACTACTCATCCTTATATCTATATCTATATCATTGATCTATATCAAAAGAACCATTTCTCATAAATTTGAGAACAGTTTGGTCTAGTACAGTGGTCAGCAACCCGTGGCTCTGGAGCCGCATGTGGCTCTTTCATCCCTCCGCTGTTGCTGGTACAATTGATAGGGCTTTCAGTTAGGACAGGTAGAGGAAAAAGGATGCCGCGCTAGGAGGAGACTCTATGGTGGCAGAACCGGACTTCCGGTCAGCAGAGGAAAAAGGACGCCATGCTAGGAGGAGACTATGGTGGGTAGGGAACCGGACTTCCAGTCAGCAGAGGAAAAAAAGATGCTGTGCTAGGAGGAGATCTATGGTGGGGGAACCGGACTTCCAGTCAGCAGAGGAAAAAGGATGCTGTGCTAGGAGGAGACTCTATGGTGGCAGAACCGGACTTCCGGTCAGCAGAGGAAAAAGGACGCCGTGCTAGGAGGAGACTATGGTGGGTAGGGAACCGGACTTCCAGTCAGCAGAGGAAAAAGGATGCTGTGCTAGGAGCAGACTCTATGGTGGCAGAACTGGACTTCCGGTCAGCTCCAGAATTGAATGGGAGCTTCCAGTTAGGACCTTTGTGGCTCTTTGAGTGTTTAAAGTTGCCGACCCCTGGTCTAGTAACTAAGACACTAGGCTAGAAGCCAGGAGACTGGGAGCTCTAGTCTCTCTTTAGCCATGAAAGACAATTGGTGACTTGGGGGTTAATCATCAGGAGATGGTGAGCTAGTTTCATCTTGACACGAAAGCCTTCTGGGTGACTTTGGGCCAGTTCCTCTCGCTCAGCCCAATTCACTTCACAGGGTTGTGATGAGGAAGGTAGGAGTAAGGTGTGTCGGATAAGTACCACCTTGACTTAGTTGTAAAACTAATAAAGGCAGGACATAAATATATAAATAAATAAATTTGGAACCCAAGGATGCTCATTGTCTATTTAAAACTTTTGCATTCCATCACCGGTAACAAATCTAGGCAGCAATTTAAAAATATGAAGCAGCAATATTAAATTAAAACCAAGGATGTAGATGTAACGAAGTACTGAAGCCACCAACTGATTTTGGAGCAAAGCAAAGCAATCAATCAATCAAACAAACAAACAAATAACAATCTAAAGAATAAAATAAAACAAATAGCAAGACAGCAGTTCAGCACTCCCTAGTATGATGCCTTGCAGCTCTCATAACTCTTACCCTTTGGTCCCAGCACATATAGGAAGTATCAGTATGTGGCAGTTGTGGGTTTCAAAAATTTTTACTACCGGTTCTGTGGGTGTGGCTTGGTGGGCGTGGCATGGCTTAGTGGGCATGCAGGGGAAGGATACTGTAAAATCTCCATTCCTACCCCAATCCAGGGGAAGGTTACTGCAAAATCCCCATTCCTCCCAATCAGCTGGGACTTGGGAGGCAGAGAATAGAAGGGGGTGGGGCCAGTCAGAATTTTTACTACCGGTTCTCCGAACTACTCCAAATTTCTGCTACCGGTTCTCCAGAACTGGTCAGAACCTGCTGAAACCCACCTCTGGTATGTGGGCATGAGCTTCTTCACTGCTACAGCCTTCCTTTGGCCAACTCATCTGTTACCTTTTGAGTTACTCCTGGTCCAGGCTCTGTTGACATTCTAACCTGAGTCCTTCATTCAGTCTGTGGACCCTTCTCCATCTCTGTTTCTGCCCTTTTGTGGAAAGTACGGCACTACAGAAATATGGCATCAGCGGTTCAAGCAACAAATCTATCTAAAGCCATCTCTTGAGTAACCCTTGGGCCAATTCCAAGCAGATGTACACAGCAACTGCTAACCCTGTTTACATCTTTTTCTTTTGGTTTGGCTTGCCAATTCTCATCTTTTTCAAACTGGAAATTACAAGGTGCTTCACGGCCACCTGTTAGCTTTGCAGAAACAGAGGTGCCGGCTTTGTCGGGAACAGAGAGATGGTGCTCCAATGAGCCAGTAAGTCATTTCCTCTACTGTCAAAAGGGAAAAGTGTGTGTGTGCAAGGAAGCCATTTTGAAGCAGTGATTTGACAGCTGGAATGGTGCCTGCTCTTTTACTCATGTGGTGACCATCTGTTCTTGCCTCTTTCCACCAATCAGTTTTTTTTTTCTTTTGTTTTGTTCTTTTAAACGCAGCTCTCCAAAACAAGTCTGGTGCATAGCTTGTGTGGGAGGCACAATTTTTAAAAAAATTTCTTTTTTTGGACATGTATGGAATGGAGCTATACATCCTCCCTAGGTAAAGCACCAGCAATGGTCCATATTTTATTTTCCCCCTCCAAACCGACTTTGCAAATCATTTTTCTGACTGGATATCTAGTGAGAACTTTTTTAAAAAAATCTTCTTTATGAAAAGGTTTTCTTATAAACAAAGGAGGAACTACACCAGTGGTGGGTTTCAAAATTTTTTACTACCGGTTTTTTGGGTGTGGCTTGGTGGGTGTGGCTTGGTGGGCGTGGCATGGGAAGGATACTGTAAAATCTCCATTCCCACCCCACTCCAGGGGAAGGTTACTGCAAAATCCCCATTTCTTCCCGATTAGCTGGAAGTCGGGAGGCAGAGAATAGATGGGGGCGGGACCAGTCAGAATTTTTACTACCGGTTCTCTGAACTACTCAAAATTTCCAGTACCGGTTCTTCAGAACTGGTCAGAACCTGCTGAAACCTACCTCTGAACTACACCTTCAAGTTTTTAATGGGTAAGTGCTGGCATTAAAAAGTGGTGCAAGCTTAACTAGATCCCAACCAGTGGTGGGTTGCCCCCGGTTGGCATTGGTTCTATAGAACCAGTAGTAAAACCGGCGGGAGGCCCCGCCCACTGACCCTGACATCATGAAAATGCTTCTGCGCACGTGCAGAAAAGTGCTCGCTTCGCTTGCGCACTCACGCAGCCCTGTTGCAAACCAGTAGTAAAGGTAAGTAGAACCCATCCTTGATCCCAACCCTGCTGTGATCTTCTCTACAGCCTACATCACATCCAGAATTATTTATTTATTCAACAGTAGAAAACCTTTCAATTTCAAGATCCTTAATTGCAGTCCAAAGTGAACTGAGTATCTGGCAAATTTATTGTTTCATTGAAAATGCATGTCATGAAACTACAAAAGCTAATTTTGCTCTCCAAAGAATTCAGGCAAGAGACAAGAGATGGGACAGATCAGACAAGGGTCATGTCAGGGCAGAGAACACACAGAATCAGAATTGGGATTCTTTTATGTTTTTAGGTACACCTATTCCTGAGTTTAGGTATCTTTAGAAGGTGTTCAACACACCGCACTCTCCATAGCACAACTATTATTGAGTCTGTCATTTGCACCTCTATAATTGTCTGGTTTGGCTCTGCAACCCAACAAGACAGACACAGACTTCAGAGGATCATTAGAACTGTGGAAAAAACAATGGCTACTAACCTGCCTTCCATTGAGGACCTGTATACTGCACGAGTCAAAAAGAGGGCTGTGAAAATATTTACAGACCCTTCACATCCTGGACATAAACTGTTTCAACTCCTACCCTCAAAACGACGCTATAGAGCACTGCACACCAGAACAACTAGACACATGATCAGTTTTTCCCCCGAATACCATCACTCTGCTTAACAACTAATTCCCACAACACTGTCAAACTATTTACTAAGTTTGCATTACTATTAATCTTCTCATCGTTCCTATCACCCATCTCCTTCCACTTATGACTGTATGACTGTAACCTTGTTGCTTGCATCCTTACGATTTATATTGACTGTTTCCTAATATGAATTGATTGCTTATTTGTTCCCTATGACTATCATTAAGTGTTGTATCTTATGATTCTTGACGAATGTATCTTTTCTTTTATGTACACCAAGAGCGTATGCACCAAGACAAATTCCTTGTGTGTCCAATCACACTTGGCCAATAAAGAATCCTGTTCTATTCTATTCTATTCTATTCTATTCTATTCTATTCTATTCTATTCTATTCTATTCTATTCTATTCTATTCTATTCTATTCTATGCAGAGACATCAGTTTTGGGGAGAGGAGGACTGCTACCCTCTGAGATAAAATGTCACTGAACATTAAATATGAGGAGAAGGTAAAACTGGGTGCTGTCTATTCTCTTCAGGCATTTTTTTCCCCAAGCATCTTCAAGAAAAAAAAATGGATTAGATATTGATGCAGATAACCTCTTGACCTGATTCATACAAGGTTCTCCTGAAAATATTATGAATCCTAGTCACATTATTCCAAGAGCTTTAAGTCCTTCAAGGCTGTGCTATGTATAAACTATGAGAGGCTAACAAAAGCCTTGCTGGATCAAATTAAGGAAACTTCCATGTTGTTTGAGTCACATATTGGAGATATCTACATGGTAGACACAATAACTTTGGAAGGAGAAATGTCCTTCTACACTTGTCTTCTCCAATTTTTAAACCCAACTGTTAACATCTCTGCACTGGTTGAGGGTTAATAGAAGTGACACCTGATCCATCAGAAAAGCTTAAAATGGATGGAGATTCTCCTTTAAAAAAATATAACATACATAATCTAGCAATTTCTACTATAATCGGTTTTCTCTTAAACTATGTAGTGTTTTTTGCATGTACTGAAAATATATCTCCTGCATAAATAATGAATCAGTCCTATAGTGAAATCTTCTGCCCTCTAATTTGTAAGATTGCCTTCCAGCAACTTTTAGTTAATTAAAATATGGACTTTAGCTGTTTGTTTGTTCTTGAATGTGTCACTGGAAAGTTGAGATTTATAACTGTACCTGGTATAAAATCTGACAGAGATCAGGAAAAGACATACGTTATTGAAAGTGTTCCCAGAAGTTACCACAAGTAGACCTTGGCCTTTTCCAGAGCATGGTTTCCTTGAAATCCAGATTGTTTTATACAACCTTATTGAGCGATGCTACTTAAAGAGATGAAAAGTAATCAAACCATATGCGCGCACTAGGGGTGGGTTCTAAAATATTTTACTACCGGTTCTGTAGGCATGGCTTATTTTGTGGGCGTGGTTGATGACCATGTGACAAACAATTCTTTAGGATTTAGCAGAGGTACTGGTCTACCAGGCTTTTAACTGCTTGCAGAGCCGTACTGGTCAACCCATTTGTTTTTGGAGCGTTTCGGTCTACCTATTTGTTTTTGGACCGCACCGGTCTACCCATTGTTTTTGGATCACACTGGTCTACCACCACACTGCCTTTTACCACTGATCAGCTGTAGGGCGGCTCTTTGAAGCAAGAGTTTAAACAGTTTTTTGCTGCTCTGCCACCACGGAGAGCATCGGAAACCGCTTTCAGGCAGCTTGGCCTCAATTGCCAATCTACCACCACTGAGCAGTTTACAAGGAGAGGATTGGTTCTAGCCGATCAGTTGGGAGGCTTCTTGGCTTCTCAATTTAAAGCTATGGTGCCCTGATTTTTTCCTTCTAGCCAATCAGCTGGGACTCGGGAGGCAGCAAATAGATTGGGGGTGGGGCCAGGCAGGGGTGGTATTTACCGGTTCTGCGAACTACTCAAAATTTCCACTACCGGTTCGCAAGAACTGTGGAGAACCGGTAGCAACCCACTCTTGTGGCTCCGTTACCTGAGCCTGTGTCATCGGCAGGAGAGGACTCTGAGAGTGAAGGAGAGGAGTTGGCAAGGCCTCCCTCTCCAGGACCCTCCTCTCTGGCAATGCCTTCGGTGTCCGCCGAAGGGCAAGAGATAGGGCCGGGGCCAAGCATGTCCACGCAGCCACAGATGGACAGTGATGAGGGTAATGAGTCTTGGCTGGATCCACGCCAGCGTTGCAGAGATAAGCGCGCGCAACAGAAGAAAAGGCGTGCCCGAGATTAGGCTGAGTCACTGGACCACACCCCACAGGATATAAAAGGGAGCGTGGTGGCCAGTCAAACCTTGTGACGAACAAAGCTGAAAGCTTCCACGCCATTCTGCATTGCCGGACTTTTAGCTATAGACTTTGCTGGATTATCTCTGGACTTGATTGACTCCGTAATTATTGAGCTGTTTCTTTTGATGTACCAGGAGTGGGGAGAAGTTATCTCTCCTCTTCGTAAATAATAAACTCTTGGCAGGCAGCCACTAGGTTGTTGCCAAGTTCCGTTATCATAAGAAAAAGGATTTTGCCGGCTGGTTTGGTCTTTAACTCTTGAACGTCTGTTGGTGTGTGTGCGTGTGGTTGGGGACAGAACACCCACTACTGGCACCCACCTTGGTAGCCACCTCTTTTGCGGCTAAGTTTTCTTACCTGAGCAATGAGGCAGAGAGCCACTCCAACGCCCATCAAGCTGACACGTGCGGGTGGAATTGCCAATCAAATTCCTGCCTTCCTGGCATTTGTAACGCACCACCGCCCCTACGGTGTGGACATCACCCAAGATCTGGGCATAGGGTGGGGATCCTGGATGGCCACAGGAGACCACTGAAAGAAAGGAGGACCGAGTTTTCAATTCAACCAGAATTAAAGTTGTATTACATTCATTCATTCATTCATTCATTCATTCATTCATTCATTCTCTCTCTCTCTCTCCTTCCCTCTCTCTTCATCCACTTTCTATATTGCCACAATTGTATTGCTTGTGGCCTTTGACACATCAGTCAAAGGCCACATTCTAAAAAGAGGGAAGGGGGATGCATGACAAAGAAGCAGGTGAGATAGAAATGAAGTTTAATTTCATGCTACTAATTAATTAAACCAATTACTCCTTTTTAATTTTTTAAAAATATTGTGTGTTCTAGTAAAAATTATACTTGCAAAGTTTCGGGCACATGTATATATGTATGTACTATTTGTATTTATGTATGTTTTAATGGAGGATACAGACAGAGGTCTCTACTTTATCATTTTAGCACACATATTCAAGAGGAAAAAAAGAACACTCTTAACAGCAAAAGCCATTTGGAAACAGAGCCCAGAATTCTTCTCTTGCCCAACAGGATCCTTCCAATTTAGTTTAATTTGCTTTAAACTGCAACAAATCTGTGCAATCTCCACACAAGAGATTTCACATTGTAACCACATGAGTGCGGAATTTATTTATACACACAGATGGAGCTTGTGCTAGTTGCGTTCCTAGTATTTGGACATCCTGTGGATCAAAAGTATATTTTCGTGGGTCCTGCTGACACTTGTGATTGGATCCACACGTTGCACCAAGTCATGCTTTGTTTAACCACAGTTACAGTTAGTGAACAAGCCATAATGTACATATTAAATAAAAAGATGATATAGCAGAGGTGGGGACAAAGTTTTATGGTCAGAAGGTAGATTTGAACGAAGGGTGAGTGCTGCAGTTGATGGTGCAAAATGAATACTGACCACTTCGTACATGTGACCAAGATTTGGCAGGATGATTCTTTAGGTTTGCAAATAAAACTTGCTCTCTTCTAGCAAGTAGGCCAATAATTAATAACAGGGATATTTATTAGGGTTTGTGTCAGGGGTGAAATCCAATTTTTTTCCCTACTGGTTCTGTGGGCGTGGCTTGCTGGGTGTGGCAGAGGAAGGATATTGCAAAATCTCCATTCCCTCCCCACTCCTGGGGGAAGGTTATTGCAAAATCTCCATTCCCATCCCACTCCTGGGGGAAGGATATTGTAAAATCCCCATTCCCAACCCACTCCTGGGAGAAGGATGCTGCAAAATCCCCATTCCTACCCCACTCCGGGGCCAGCCAGAGATGGCATTTGCCGATTCTCTGAACTACTCAAAATTTCTGCTACCGGTTCTCCAGAACTTGTTTGAACCTGCTGGATTTAACCCCTGGTTTGTGTGCCGCTTTGAGTTTGATTCCAAAAAATGGTTTTACAATGTGTGGGGATGTGATCCGTCTGCAATACTTTCCACCTGCTACATCAGGGGTGTCCAACCTTGGCAACTTTAAGACTTGTGGACTTCAACCGCCAGAATTCCCCAGCCAATTCTGGGAGTTGAAGTTCACAGGTCTTGAGGCTAAATCTCTGTGCCACATCTTTTCTTGTATTACTTGGCTACCCTCCACAACTGCCCTGTGAACCTGGTTAAAGAGGCAACTGCTCTGAAGAGGAGCAAACAGCCTTCATGTTTGTCAGATCATAAGATCTGAAACAATGCAGATCCCTATTTATTTATTTTTTTCATGGTGAACAAATGATCAGATTCTCCCTGATGCACTTATCTATGCTCTACTGTTAATGAGCTGTTATGGGCTACATATCAGTGGTGAAATCTAAAATGTGTTACTACCGATTCTATGGGCGTGGCTTGGTGTGTGGGGAGTTAATGTGACTGGGTGGGCATGGCCATTTTTTTTTAAAACTTTTAAAACCATTTTTTCTGCAACCTCTTCGGGGAAGAGGTTGTAGAAAAAATGCTTTCAAAAGGCTCTGACGATCCCAGCTGAGTTGCCTGATCGGCAGAGACTTTTTTTCTTTTAAATGCCTCTGCCAATCAGGCAACTCAGCTTGGGTCGCCAGAGGCATTTAAAAGAAAAAAAAGGGGTGGTGGTGGTTCTTTTAAAAGCCTCTGACGATCCAAGCTGAGTTGCTTGATCGGCAGAGACTTTTTTTCTTTTAAATGCCTCTGACGATCCAAGCTGAGTTGCCTGATCGTTAGAGGCATTTAAAAGAAAAAAAGTCTCTGCCGATCAGGCAACTCAGCTTGGATCGTCAGAGGCATTTAAAAGAAAAAAAAAGGATTTTTTTCTTTTAAAAGCCTTTGATGATCCCAGTTGAGCTGCATGATCATCAGAGGCATTTTTTTTTTACTTTTAAAAGCATTTTTTCGGCCAAAGAGGTTGTAGAAAAAAATGCTTTTAAAAGTAAAAAAAAAAAGCCTCTGATGATTGTGCGGCTCAGCTGGGCATGAGGGGGGGGCAGGGATCTTTGCTACCGGTTCTCTGAACCACCTGCCTCCATCGCTACCGGATCGGGCGATCCAGTCCCAACTGGCAGCATTTCACCCCTGCTACATATCTGAGATGGTTCAGAAGTCTCATTGGCATCCTTCAGTTTCAAAAGACTATGGAAAGAGGTCCTAAAACAGCATCTAGTGTGAGTAAAAAAGCCAATTCGAGAGTGGCAATTCCTTCCACACTGAGGGCAGATACATTCTGTTCCCTGCCCAGCCCCCAGATTTCACTGGTTCCGGGACTGCCTCTTTGCCTCGGCCTGCCAAACAAGTGCCTCTTCGAATTGGAGAAGGCCATACTGCAATATTTCTTCATCTGCTTCCACAAAGACTGGTATCTGAACTGAGTTTTTTTGTTTTGTTTTGTTTTTCTTTAACCAAATCTTAGTCTCCACCAGCCCAATACCTTTTCACAATGCTTAAAAAATTTGAGCAGAAGGCATGAAATATATACTTAGTAAGAAAAGAAAGGACTGCTACACATGAAAAGCATTTGCAAAACAACATGCTTTTTGTCTTTCAATATTCTGTCAATGAGCTCCAAGTTAAGTCCGTGAGAAGACTGTGGAAGAGATGGTCTGAAAAGGAACACTTAAGAACTCAAATATAATTTAAGAACAGATACCCCACATTACATGTAAACTGAGAACTTGCAACAGTGACAGCACTTCTAAAGATTAACAATTTCCTACATGCCCCATTTCTCTAAAAACGAATTCACTCATACTAGTAGATACTTTTAACTAGAAATGCCCAAAATGGAGAAATAACATCTTTTGTATTCCTCTTCACAGCGATATTGTCACACAGGAAATGCCTTTTAACAATATGCAATTGTCAGCCATTTCCATTCATCCTTTCTCCCCGAGCCAATTAGACAGAAATGGGAATTGCCTGTTCACTGCTCTTCTTGACTAAAATGGGGCCAACAGTTGAAACTGTCTTGCGGGCAGTCTATAGACAGGATCCTCTAATGAAGTTATGACCTCAAGCAATGGATTCCTTCAGTTTTATACTGTCAAAAACGAGGAACTGAAACAAACAATACTGTGTATAGAACCATTCTGGGAGACCTCAACTCATTTCTAAACTGTACCAGTGTAGCTTGAAAGAGAAGTGGGTTTTAGCATTGTTGCAGTGATGATAAAGCAGCCAAGAGTTCTCCATCAGTCATGTCTTCCATTTCATAACATTAGCGGAAGCATCCTGTGCAAAATTTAGCTCCAAGTCTAGTAATAAAACTAGCTGTTTCCTAATACTTCACCACTATGTTGGAAATGTAAACACCAAAAGGGAACTTATTATCACATGTGGTGGTCCTGTCATAAAGTGAAACAATACTGGCAAAAAATTAAAACACAAATAGAAGAAATTATAAATCAACATATAGGAATGAGGCCAGAAACTTTCTTACTGGGAATAATTTCAGGGTCATATGAAAAGAAATACGGTATTTAATCATTCACATAATTACAGCAGCATGAATAGTTTATGCTCAGAACTGGAAAAATAACAATATACCATCAGAAGACAATGTGATTAGAAAAATCATGGAGTGGGCGGAAATGGATAAGCTTACGAAGGAGATACAAGAAAAAGAGAAAACAGAATACTACTTAGTCTGGGAGAGATGGTATAAATGGTTGGAGGAAAAGGGGAAAAAGGACAAGGAAAGACTAAAAACGGTTGAATCAAGAATAGAAATATAAGAACAAATGGGAAGAAGCAAAAATTGTGGAAAGGAAATTGGGTCTAATGTAAATAAAACAATTAGAATAATATAATACATTATAGTGGTATATATACGATATATGTATAAAATATATACTAGGATAAGAGAGAGAAAATGTATAAGTATGGATTACCGATGCGAAACTGTTGAAAAGAAGAAAGTGTTAATGTTTCTTTTTGTTTTAAAAATGGTTTAATAAAAATATTTAAAAAAAACAACAACTTAGGCCATTCTCAAGCATCCTGAAAATCATACAAAATAATGATAGAACAGAAGCTTCTTTTGTAATGGGGAGGGGGGGGGGGATGAGAAAATGCAAGGAAGACTTTGATATGGCACAAGTATTTAAATGAGTGAGAAGCTTGTCCTTGAAGAGGGAACAGATCTCTCCACAAGGAAATCTTCAGGAATATGAGTTTTAGTGGGGAAGCATGTTCTCCCTATGTGTCCTCAACTGTTCTGACCTAGGCTTCCTTAGAAAGTATAAAGCACAATCTTAGTCCCGCAAAACCACTTTTATTTATACAACTGTAAATTACTTCCATTTACAGTCCGCAAGGCTTGATAAACAGTCTTTCAGAGGAACGTTATCAACCCCCACCTATCTCTCATGGAACGCTGCCAGGGAGCTAATTTCCAGACGCAGGACAAGGTCAAACTTGGCACAGAGTCACAAACAGAACTTTCCAATCTTGAATCTGCCAGATGAACTAATTGCTTCCTGCAAAAGCTCACGTCCCGTTCGCTCTTTTTTATGTCTTATGGAGGGGCCAATCATCTCCAAGCCTTACTCCCAAGTCGA